GAAGGAAGGAAGGAAGGAAGGAAGGAAGGAAGAAAGAAAGAAAGAAAGAAAGAAAGAAAGAAAGAAAACCATAAGGAAGAAAGAAAAGAAAAAAAATCAATAAAGAAAACCACCTCATTCTTTTTTTTTTTTTTAAAGCAAAGTTTCATATTTTATTGCCAGCCAGGATTGGTGCAGTCCCTGGTGCAACCATGAAGAGAGACAATCCATTAAACTAAAACCAGCACTAGGTAAAGCTTCCTGGTGGCATGATTGTGCCCCCGTGCCCTCCGTCATACTTTCTTTTTTTGGGGGGGGGGGGGGGGGGGGTTGAAGGGGGAATGCTGTGGCAGTGGATTATGGGACAAGGGAAGAGGAAGGAGCGAGGGGTTGGGGGGGGGGGGGGGTAAGTTCTCTCTCCAAAATACAGTCATCCCGTAGAGAGCTCGGGTGTCGTTTTCCTCCCGTTCCATCCAACCCCGAGCCACAGCATTTGATGCTCACAAACCTACATCCCTTCGTGGCAGGACATCCACCCCCCCCACCCCCAACCACTGATCCTGGTTACCGAACTTTCAACGTAAGGGAGCCGCCATTTTTTTCTCACTAAGGAAGACGCCACGTTTTCAAGTTGGGTAAGGATTGGAGAGCAGCCTTAAGAGAGAGTCGACTCAACAGGCAGACCGACGAATAGCGGATGGTTCCTCTGAGCCCAGCATGCACCCTTTCGAAACACAGCCCAAGAACAGGTGATAAACCAGGTTTAGCCACACAGGGAGTTTCCCACCATTGTTGGGTTTTTTTTTTGTTTGGTAGCCGGAAATGCCCCTGCAGCCAGAAAAAACGAGCTCCTTGCTTAACTCCTACGGGGCAAAGGCCTAATTAACCCAGACGGGGTTCCGGTTTTGCTCGCACCCCGCAACCCCAAATGCCCTACCCTGGTCGCCATTCCACACCTCGACCCCCAGCCGTTGCGCCTCCTGCCTGACCGTGATCCCTTCAGATAATTCTGGGTAAGAAAAGGGACACCTACTAGACTGGAGCGTGCGCTCCCTGACCTCCGATGTCGGGGCCCCAAGGCCCAAAGCCGAACGAGCCGCCAACTGGAAGACATACTCCGTGTTGGGGTTGAGATCTTTCACCAGGAAGAAAGTCACGGGGTCAAACGTCTTCAGAAACTGCAGAGGCGGCAGCCGGGGGCGAGGGTCGTTAAGCCAAACAAGCGACAGAAAACAAAGGACAGAGGTAGTTTAGTTTACTTTATCGCCCGTCGCACCTCGCACAATGAAATTAATAGGCCCTCTTCGGTGTACACTGGAACTATGAAAATAAAACAACACAAACACACATCCTTCCCATTTTGTACAATGGAATTGGAAACCCCTGATATTGAATTAATGTAGTTGTGGTTCGCCGGCAGCCGGCGGAGAAGGCAGCGGAATCGGACAGTGGGAAAGAACGGGGACCACTCTGGGAATCTGGGGAGGGCTCGGACGAGGATCCTGCATCCGACGGAGAGATGGGACCAGGACCATCTGGGAGTGGAGTGCTCACTCTGGAGGCTCCAGAGTCTGGCAGCAGCGAGGCAGAGGAACCAGGGGAGCCTGTTCCCATTGCGCGCTTGCGCAGAGCTGCTAGAAGGGTTAGAGCAGCTGAGACAAAAGGGGCAACTCAGAAGTAAGGCTGGGAGGTGACTGCCCCTCCCCTAAGGGATAAAGGAGGTGCAAAGGTAGAGAAACCTTTGCAGGAAGCAAAGTCGTTTGCTCTGTTTGGATTAAACCTTGAGGCTCTGTGTGGACTTTTGTACTTCAGTTGGTTTTTTACAGTTAATTTGGCACTTTGGTTGTTGGCAGCCATTCAAAGGAGAGAAAGGTGGGTGCTTATCTCGAGGGACTGTTTGGGACTCATTACAGGCTGGGAATGCACATAATTCCCAGCGTTGAAATAAAACGAAGAGTTGTTTGGACTAAGCATGTGCTTAATTACGGTCTTAGAAAGCCTTGGTCAGAACCAATATTGCACTATACAGTAGAATTCAATATAGTTACTGTTCTGGGATAGAAGCTGTTTTTCAGCCTTTTTGTCCTTGTTTTTATTATCCGGTACCGTCTGCCAGATGGTAATAGTTTAAAAAAAAAGGGGTGCCCAGGATGAGATAGATCTTTAAGGATGTTTTGAACTTTTGTAAGGCAGCGGGAGCTATAAAGCTCTTCCAAAGAGTGGAGAGGGCAACCCATGATCCTCTGGGCAATGATGTTAACCTTCCAGAGTGCTGTCCTGTCTGCCACTGTGCAAAGCAGACACAGGTGCAGGTATGAATGGGGGGTGGGGGGGCATGGTCACTCCAAGGATTCCTTGCCGTGGGGATTCCCATTCCCAAAAGCGGACTCACCTCCGGGGTTCCTGGTTTGTTGCTGATTTCTTTGTAAAGGAGCTCGTACTTCAGAATGATGTCCTGGCGGGGAGGACTCCAGGTTAGTAAAATCGTGCTCTCGCTCTTCGCTTCGGCTCGGAAATTCATCGGCTGCCCGGGAACTAGTGAAGGCAAGGGATGGGAACGCAGAAAAGTTATATGTGAGAACAGGTGAGGGGAAGACAGAAGACAACTGGATAGACGGGTAGTCCTCGGCTTATGACCAAAATTTGAATAGATTAGAATGAGCTGGAAGAGACCTTAGATCTCTCCCCTGCTCAAGTGGAAGAAACTAAACCATTCCAGACCAATGTATTCATTCATCGTCCATTCATTCTCGATTCCGTCTCTTCTTGGCTGACAGGCACTCCTTAATTATTCTATTCCTATGGCATTCAACTTTCACCGTTAAAGTTAATACTATGGTAAACTAAAATCTATCACAATACAAAGCCCCCTTAAGTAACAAACTAGACACTCATTACAACTATTTGAATGGTTGCTGAACAGTGAAGTGGTTCTGAAGATATTTTGGAGGGCTGAATGAAGTACCTTACCAGGCCATTACTTTTATCTGTATCTGTATCTGTATCTGTATCTGTATCTGTATCTGTATCTATCTATCTATCTATCTATCTATCTATCTATCTATCTATCTATCTATCTATCTATCCATCCATCATCTATCTATCTATCTATCTATCTATCTATCTATCTATCTATCTATC